CCCTTCATCTTTAGGTTACAGCACCCTCTACTGAGTTGTTAGCAATATTACATGGTGGCCATTTTCCCTAATAGTGGCTGCTTTTCCTTCAGGAAGTAACAGTCTGAAAATGTAGTGAAAAGATGAACTTTCTGCAAATCGAAGTGCTCTTACACTCTTTGAAACTTATAAAGATACGGGTACAGCCATATTACTATGAAGAAACAAGTGATGGTGAGTTTGAAGATGTTACAGAGACATATGCAGACAAACTTTAATGTAAAAGACATGCAAGATTTGAATATATGTAGCACCTTGTAATCTTGAATTCTGTCTCCGAAATGACTTAGAAAATCTGGGGAGAATATTCACTTAGCTTAATGTGATAGAATTAAAACATAAAATGATTACTGTCTTTCTAAAGACTACTAGGATATTCAAGTTTAAAATTCATTGTATGATAAAACTATCTTTCTAGTAATGGTGATGGCTTTATATTGAGTCAATCAAATTCTCCTACACAGCCTCCTTTGTAATCGCTTAAATTTGAGACAGCAGTGACCAGGATTTTGACAAAGTGTTGGTCCTTGTGATGAAGTTCTAGAACCTAGGTGAGGTTCGATGGAGTGAGGTCCAGAGCCGATGACCAAGAAAGAATTCTTGAGACATCTTTGGTGCAAAATGGTGGTTTATTAGAACACAGGACAGGACCCCTGAGCAGAAAGAGCTGCTGCTGCCCCGGGGATGTGAGGAGTGGCTGATTATATACACAGGAGTTGGGTAGGTGAGGACAAAGGGGTGTTCAGAAGGGCTACAGGGGTAAAGAAGACTGTCAGGATATTGAAGGCCTGGTTACTATCAAGCCAAGGCCGTTTTCCCTGTAATGAGGCGCTAACTAAAGACAATTGGGGAGTCTCCTGGTGGAATGTCACATTCTTGCTATCAAGCGTCCTTGTTAGTGAGATTTAGGTTTAGAAGAAATTTAACTTTGTTGGGTCCATGGTCAAAGGAACGAGACTGATACAAATCGAAGGTCAAGCAAAGCTTTATTTTGCGCCAAGCATCGAGAATCAAACTGCCCGGCCAGGGCCATCTCTTGCAAAGAGGCGACCCCTCCCAGTCTCACAGACTAACTTTTATAGAGCAAAGGCCATGTGGTTGAGCCTGGCCACACACAGGTGGCCAATTGAATTACAATTTACCCTATAGTAGTTATTTGAACTAGCCTATCACTCTGGTCAGAATTGGCACCCAAAAGGCAGGGCCCACATTCTTGGGTGGTTAGAGAGGTATTTTCCTGATTGGATGTCTCTACCTGGCTTGACTCATCCTTGTATTCTGGGCTCTGTTACCTCCCCCTGACCTGACACATCCTGGTATATGGGCTCTGTTATCAGGGGCTGGTCAGTCATATTTTACTGGTTTCCCAGACTTGTTTCTAAGTAAGTTCCTCTGGGGGGGCAGGGTCAATCTAAGTTTACTGCATAAACAACAAAATGGTTCGCTCTGGCTAAGTAGGCCCTTACAAACTTTATTTACTTTTCCTTCTATCTCAGTCTTCTCTAGTTTTGTTTATGGAGGGGAGGGTGATGTTAGGGCTTGAGGAACTGAGTTATGTGCCTCTGGAAAACGGGCTATTGATAAGGTAACTTCTTTGTTGTAAATCTCAAGGACATTTGTAAACCAAGGGAGACTTGTGCCTTGCAGGATTGTTATCTCTGCAAGTTAACTATTTGTTTTTCTTTTAGGGCAGCCAGGGGTGCCTGAGGAACGACACACATATTACCCACATATTACCGAGGGGAGCGGGTGGAGAGGGGGTGCAAGGTGCCAGCTCTTGCTTTGTCCTCAGCCAGCCTCCTGCTCCCTCATCACTTGTAGAGAAGCTGAGACTTTGGTCTTATTAACACCACACAATAACTACATGGTCCAGTAGATTTAAAAAAAAAAAAAAAGGTAAACTTGTCTACTAGCTAAAATTATGAACATCTAGAATGATCATTTAAGTGGATTCTTTCTAACAACAAGGTATTCAAAGTAGGTGCTGAAAAGGTCTTTGAAGACCAATTATAGATGAAATTGATAAAGTTTGAAGGTTGTCTCCATGGAAGATGGTAGTACTTAAAACAGCTAGAAGCTGGGAAAAATAGTTGCAAGCTGAATTGGGCTGAACCCCCAACTTCTGTCCTGACCACAGAAATGAATCAGGGTAAGGAAATCTGAGTGAGTTCAAAGTTTCTCCTCTTGACCTCTATAGGAACCACTGGTCTTTGGGAATTATTAACACAGAAATGGGTAGGGATGCCCTCTCTCTTGCAGATGTTTAAATGTCTATGTAAAGTTTTATTCTCTCATGCAGGAAGTTTCTATTGTTGACTTTACTTTTATTCTGTACAGTAACAGTGTCTTCTTAATCTGTTGTGGACAGATACTGTTGTAAAATTCAGTAAAAATGATTTATTAGAAAAGTGAAATTAAAAAGACAATCCATGAACTATTATCAGATTCAACAAACAAAAGTACTCCATCAAAACTGCTATAAAGTTTCTAAATGCTTCTAAATATTTGATTTAGCTTGTTGTGAACAAGTAACAGCTTGCAGTCTGGCACTAGAGTGCAAACCACACTTTGAGTGGTATTACTTTTACTAGCAGAGTGTCTCAAACGTTAATATGGGAAAGGATCACCTGGGGCTCTTGCATAAGTGCAGCTCTGGGGTGGTCCCGAGACTATTTCCTAAAAAGCTCCCAAGTGATACTGATGCTGCTGGTCTGCAGCCATAGTTTTGTGTAACGACACGTCATGAACCGTTTTTGATTTTCACACTGGTATTTTGAACTAAGAATTCTTACTCTATTTTACTCCTGTTTAAGTCAGGTACTAATTAAAGTCAGATTTATTGAGGTATAATTTCCACAGAGTAAAGTTTAACCTTTTTAGTGTACAGTGGTGTGCATTTTTTTTTAAGATTTTATTTATTTATTTGACAGAGAGAGAGATCACAAGTAGACGGAGAGGCAGACAGAGAGAGAGAGAGAGAGAGAGGGAAGCAGGCTCCCTGCTGAGCAGAGAGCCCGATGCAGGGCTCGATCCCAGGACCCTGAGATCATGACCTGAGCCGAAGGCAGCGGCTTAACCCACTGAGCCACCCAGGCGCCCCAGTGGTGTGCATTTTTAACAAAGTCATAGTTGTATAACCACCACCATAATCAAAACCTAAACAGTTCCATCACCCCTCAAAGCTCCCTATGCTCTTACATAGTCAGTACCTCCCATGCTATAGCCCCTGGCAACCCCTGGTCTGTTTTCTGTCCCTATAGTTTTGCCTTTTCCAGAATGTCGTGTACTGTATTGTATAGTAGTTTATTCCCTTTTATCACTAAGTAGTGTTCCATTGTATGAATGCAACACAGGTTGCTTATCCATTTAGCCATTTAAGGATGTTTTGTCTGTTCTTGGGTTTTGGTGATCATGAATAAAACTGCTATAATCTTTCTGGTACAAGTTTTTGTGTGAACATAAATTTTCTCAGTCAAAATTTTGACGGGCAATTCCTCCAATTACTGCAAAAAAAAATGTGAAAAAACCATTCAAGTCTGGGCTGACTATTTCAAGCAGCATTTCCGAGTACAGAGTATGCACAGTGGAGGTTAAAAGAGGTTATTAAGGACAGATACAACAATCTGATGACATTGGAAGGCTTTTCCAAGGAAGAGGATAATTCTTAAGACCAGAAATTGGAAGTAATATAAAGAAATAAATTGATCGCACAGTGATTTAACTAAACAGACAGCCCTCGATTTGCAACTCTAGATTCACATATATCTTAAATATATAAAACGATATGGGGGAAGTGACTCAGGGTTCAAGTTCCTGGGTTTGGTGGAAGAACTAGTGTTTGTTTAGTGATTCAGTATGTGGGGAGTATGTGGGGAGAGCCTTACAAGTACCCAGTTGTATTTTCTGTTAATAAAGGAATGCAACGACAGTTTCTATTTAGCAGCTATGAATGAACAGAAAATTATTAGTTTATGATACCCCATTTGGCACTTGTGAGTATGAAGACCTTTTGCATACAATCTACAACATTGTCATGAGGCAGATATTCGTGCTTTCATTTTACTGATAAGAGGCTACTCAGAGAAGCTCTGCCACATTTCCAGGTTTACAGAGCGGAAGGCATTTTCGACTTCCAAGGGTCCTGGTCTTATTCCATGTTATGAAGTAAGCCCTAAATTTGGAATTGCACCCATCCCGAGAGTCAGGGGCCTGAGGTTTTGCTCACAAATGCTGTTGACAAATCCTATGATTTATCAGCGGGCAGATTAAACTAAGCTGTAGAGCCAAGTAGTCTCTCTTTTTACCACCACCCACCTGGACGAACCTTGAATTTCTCTTTCTGATACCCCAGTTTTATTGAGGTGTAATTGACATGTAATATTGTATTGGTTTCAGGTGTTGCTTTTGTTCTTTAAATTGCTTTCAGCTTTAACTCCTCTGCTTCTTAAAGAAGAATTCCCATCCCAGGAGAGCAAGCACTCAACTTCCTCATTTTTGTCAATAGAAAACAGGCCCAGAGATGGGTAGTATCTGTGAAGCCTTTCGGAAAAAGTCCGAGATCTGTGCCGCCCGACGAGTCCCAAATGTCTATGCAGAGAAGACTGACTACCTGTGGGCAGTTTGCAGACTCCAAGCTGTTAGGTATGGGGGCTTGAAGTGGAGTAACCCAAGCTTCGAACTTTCTCTCCCCCCTTCCGCAGCACTTAATCAGCGGAGGCCCAAAACCAAACCCTCGGGGGGGGGGTTTGCTCCTCGAACCTGCACCTCTGACAGCTCGTCAGAAAAAGAGCGGAACTCATTCTCCGGGCCCCAACGCCCCTCCCCAGACCCACCCGCCGGCCTCTCACTTCCGGCCCCCGCCAGGCAGCTCCGGGCCCGCCCCTCCACGCCTCTCAGGGAGGCCGGCGCCCGGCGAGCTCCTCCCCGGGTAGCAGCGGGAGCGGCCACTCCCTGCGCGCCGAGCTGGGCTGAGCCGGGGTCTGCGTCTGCTCTTGCTCCCTGTACGCCGCGAACCCCTCGAAGCCAGGCGGCGGCCGTCGCGCGGGACCTCGTCGCGCCCGGCAGTCCTCGTCCCCGTGACCCCCCTGGGCTGGGCCGCCGCTCGCCTTCCGGACCATGCTACGCTGGCTGCGGGGCTTCGTGCTGCCCGCGGCGGCCTGCCAGGACGCGGAGCCGCGGACGCGCTACGAGACCCTCTTCCAGAGGCTGGACCACAACAAGGACGGCGTGGTGGACATCCGCGAGCTTCAGGAGGGGCTCAAGAGCCTGGGCATCCCGCTGGGCCAGGACGCCGAGGAGGTGGGTCGCTGTGCGGCCGGGAAGGCTGCGGAGATTCTGGGCGCGGGCGGCAGAAGGCGGAACTGCGGGTTCCAGCCCGCGACTGGGCTCCGAAGCTCGGGAGTGGGGCACCGGGCCAGTTACTCCCGGAGCTGATGCGCGTCAGCCTGAAAGCCTACAGGTATTTTCCCGAATGAAATTAGTGCAGCGAACACTGTGGCCCACTGTAACAATTTAAAACGCTGTTCCATAGCACTTTTGGTAGGAATGCATCCCAGGTCCTTCACCTGCCTTTTTGCAAAATTTAATCAATAATTTTTTTTTAAGCTCTCAGACTTAAATGGGCCCCACGCTCTGTAAAAGGCTCACATTTTGCATCCCTTAGAAGCTGCTTTGTTACACTAGCTAGTTTTGTCTAGTCTTTCAGAACTTTTGAAAACCAAAAACCAATCGTATGTTTCTTCCAACTTCCTGTTGAGGAGAGGCAACATTCCATTGTCGAAGACCTTCTTAATGTCCTAACTGCATAAATTCATCTAAAGGGTTGGCCGGTCGCTGAGCAGTTTCAACTTCCCTGAGTCATTTTAATTGTGCCTCTGAAGCTCAGCCCCTTTACCAGGGTGGAGATACTTGGAACCTCTCCAACCCCTCTGAAACATAAGAGGACACTATGGCATTCCCTATCCCAAGAGGGAAGGTGATTAAACTCCCAATAGCCAACAACTGTTTCACAGTTTCTATTTTAAGCTACCCGTTCAATGTCTTTAGTAGTTCTAGGTCCCTTTAGTTTATTTACTATTTCTTCTTGAGTCAGATTTAGTAAGTTACAATTTTTAAAGATTTTATTTAATTATTTTGTCAGAGAGAGAGAGGGAGAGAGAGCAAGCACAGGCAGACAGAATGGCAGGCAGAGGCAGAGGGAGAAGCAGGCTCCTATTTTAAGCTACCCGTTCAATGTCTTTAGTAGTTCTAGGTCCCTTTAGTTTATTTACTATTTCTTCTTGAGTCAGATTTAGTAAGTTACAATTTTTAAAGATTTTATTTAATTATTTTGTCAGAGAGAGAGAGGGAGAGAGAGCAAGCACAGGCAGACAGAATGGCAGGCAGAGGCAGAGGGAGAAGCAGGCTCCCTGATGAGCAAGGAGCCCGATGTGGGACTCGATCCCAGGACGCCGGGATCATGACCTGAGCCGAAGGCAGCTGCTTAACCAACTGAGCCACCCAGGCGTCCCCTATTTTAAGCTACCCGTTCAATGTCTTTAGTAGTTCTAGGTCCCTTTAGTTTATTTACTATTTCTTCTTGAGTCAGATTTAGTAAGTTACAATTTTTAGAAAACTTGTCTTCAAGGTTCGTTAATACTCAATTATGATTTTTTAGAACGTTCTGACTCTGTGTGGCTATATGCTCTATTTCATTTCTGATATCGAGCTCCACCCCCCACACTTCAGTCTTGCCAAAGATTTGTCTACTTTATTTATCCTTTGAAAGAACCAACTTGGGACGCCTGGGTGGCTCAGTTGGTGGGACGACTGCCTTCGGCTCAGGTCATGATCCTGGATTCCCGGGATCGAGTCCCGCATCGGGCTCCCAGCTCCACGGGGAGTCTGCTTCTCCCTCTGACCTTCTCCTTGCTCATGCTCTCTCTCACTGTCTCTCTCTCAAATAAATAAATAAAATCTTAAAAAAAAAAAAAAAAAGAACCAACTTTTGGTACTTTTTACTGATGTTCTCTTTTTAATTTTTTCTCATTAATTTCTATGTATTTCCTTCTATTTTCTTTGGGTGTACTCATTTGCTCTTTTTCTAATTTTTTTAGTTGAATGCTGATTCCTTAATTTTGAGCTACAATATCCCTTTGATCACTTTTTTGCCTTTAAAGTCAATTAGCCAACATAGAGTACATCATTAGTTTTGGGGGTAGTGTCCAGTGATTCATTAGTTGCATATAATGTCCAGTGCTTTTCACATCATGTGCGACCTCCTTAATTCCCATCACTCAGTTGCCCTATTCCCCCACCTACCTCCCTTTAGCTGCATTCCACAAGTTTGTATTTCTGTTTAGTTTCAAGTATTTTGTAATTTCCAATGTGATTTCATCTTTGACCCTGAATTATTTAAATGTGTGCTTTAAATTTCCAAAGACATGCTTTTTCAGTTGGTTCTTTGAAAAATATGAATAAAATAGGGGTGCCTGGGTGGCTCAGTGGGTTGGGCCTCTGCCTTCAGCTCAGGTCATGATCTCGGAGTCCTGGGATCCAGCCCCGCATCAGGCTCCGTGCTCATTGTGGGGCCTGCTTCCTCACCCCCTCCCCTCGCCTGCCTACTTATGATCTCTTGATCTCTCTCTCTCTCTGTGAAATAAATAAATAAATAAATAAATAAAATCTTAAAAAAATATAAATGAATAAAATAGACAAGCCTCTGACAAGATTAAGAAAATATGAACTCAAAATCAGGAATAAGAAATATGTTTAATTTTCCAAAATGTATATATGAACAAATTATAAATTGTATAGAATCATGTCTATACAAACATACAATAGGATGGCATATATTTATCACTGTCATATATATGTATTTTATACATAAGCATAAAATGTACTTTATACATACATACACATATTTATAATATCACTATCTGTGCTTATGATAGATATTAACTAATCCCAGCACTCTTTTTTGACTGGTGTCTTCTTCAATAAAAGGTTAGTAATGGTTATTTATGGATGGTAGGAGTTGCCTTTTTACTTTTTTCTTCACAATTTTTGTATTTCCATTTTTAAAAATAACTGTATATTATTATGATTGGGGAAAAAAGAGGTTTTTGTTTTCATTTTCATTTTGTTTTTATAAATACCACCTCCTCTGAGATGAGTCTTTCTGGGCCACCTTCTATGGAAGAGTTGATCACACCCTACTATGGGTAGGTCCTTGGTCTTACATGTCACTACTATCATAATTTTCAGAGGGTGTTATATTTAGTTATTGATTGTACCCTCCACTAAGACCAAGCATCTCAAAGATGAGGGTCATATCTTAGTCATCTAAGCACAATAATGCAAAAAGATTTAGGACTTGATTTGAAATAGCCTAAATAAGGCAGTGCCTCCTTTGAGATAATACAGAAAAAAGAGATAAAATTTAATTGTAAAGTTGTTAGTCCTTATATTTCCAGTATGTATAGGACAAAATGACCAAAAATCCTCCTACTGCAAGATATCAAGAAATGCTGGATAAATAAAATAAACACATTTTTATGAAGACTATTTTTTTAAGAGCAATTTTAACTGAGAAGGTGGTACTGAGATTTCCCATACACCATATGCCCTTGCATATCACATGCACAGCCTCCCCCATTGTCGACATCACTCAGCCGAGTGGTACCTTTTATTAACCAAGCATGAACCTACACAGCATTATCACCCAAAGCTCATAATTTACCTGAGGGTTCACTGGTGATGTATATTCTCTGGGTTTGGATGAATGTGTAATGACATGTATCCATCATTATAATATAGAGGATTTTCACTGCCCTAAAAGTCCTGTGCTCTGCCTATTCATCCTGCCCCCCACTGCTGATCTTTTTCTTAGCTCCACAATTTTGCCAGATAAACCTCTTTTACATGTATAAGAAGAGAACGCTAATCAAACCGTCTGGATTTAAATCTTGGTTCTGCTGCTAACTAGTTAACTTTGGGCAATTTTCTTTTTCTCTCTCTCTCTCTTTTTTTCTTTTTTTAATGGAAGCATAGTTGACACACAGCATTACATTAGTTTGAGGTATACAACACAGTGACTCGACAACCCTTTTGGTTCCGCTGAGCTCACCACAAGTGTAGCTCCCGTTGGTCTCCACACAATGCCGTTACAGTGCCATTGACTACATTCCCACACTGGGCCTTTCATCCCCCTGACTTACCCATTCCATAACTGAAAGCCTATACCTCCCACTCCCGTTCACTCATTTTGTTCCTCTCCCCTCTCTGTATCCTCACCCCTCTCTGGACAATTTTCTTAATCTCTCTAGCCCCAATTTCCTCATTGGCTACAGAGGCAACACAAGTACCTATTCCAGAGGGTTATTGTGAGGAACAAATGAATTAAAATATGTAAAGTACTTAGAAAAATGCCTGGTACCTAATAAGCAATCAGTTAGCCACTAACCTTTAAATTATTAATTACTGTTACTACAATCACTACAGAAAGAGATGTCAAAAACTCTATGATTATGGATTTGCCAACTTTTGTTTATAATTCTGTCAATTTTCCCTTTTATATTTTAAAAAAATAGACTATATAGTGGACTATACTGGTGGTATAGTCAAATTTAGCATTTTGGTATCTTCCTGGTGAAATGCTCCTTATATAAGTACACTTTCTTGCCTATCCTTACAGCATATTTTTCAAATTCCTGAGTTATTACCAGAGTGTTGCCCTCCAACAGTCACTTCCCAGGTCACCAGTGGGAAATCATCAGCACTGGGCTCCCACCTTGTGCAAGACATACTTCTTGCCCCATATTCCAGTCAGACTCTTTGTCAGTTGGATGATGAGTGATCCAGTTTCCAAATTCCATGTTACCACCTCTTGGGTTGGACCACTTTTGGTCAGTTCTGGTCTTCTGAGGGGCAGAAACCAAAATGGGATTGGGAATGCAAAAGATGTATTGGGAGAAATCCTTGTGAAGGGTAAGGGAGAGGCAAAAAGGGTGAGTTGAGGTCTTAAGACTGGACACAAATTTAACCCCTGTTAGAAGAGTTCAAGAAGGAATGATTTGCGAAGAACTTCGACCAAAGTACAGTTCTTAGGATGTCTCAGCTAAGCCAATGCGGAGGGGTCCAGGGGGAAAATGTTATCAGTTGGGGGAATCCTATGCTATTGGCTGCCCCGTGCTGGTACCCTGCTGTGGCCAGTCGTTGGTTGGAGCAGCCCAGGGCAAGCATGGACTTGCTGGGAGTGCTGCAGCACAGGCGCGAAGGTGTTGCAGGCAGGGTGTCTGTCCTTCAGCTCTGCTCCCACA